GGTGAAGACAGTAGACATCACCCTGACCACATGACACATTGGGAATTGGTGTCAGTTTATGGTGTGAACAAGGGCCATGGCGCACACTTGGGAGTGTTCAGAGCTGGGGTCTAAAGCAGTGAGTGCTCACCCAGGCAGAGAAGGGACCCGAACTGGACCAAGGGCAGAAGTCTAGGAGGTCACTTTGTTTGGCTCTAAAGAGACAGATAGAAGAACTAAAGAAGGACAGAGGCCAGAAAGTAGGGAGTGGAAAATGCTTGAAGATTTTGATTGGCTAACGCTTGATGAGGTAGAAATCATATATCTGATTTAACATGCTCAGTGCGCTGTTTTAAAAAAAAAACAAATTTCTTCTGTATAGCACAGGGAGCTATATTCAATATCTTATAATAACTTTTAATGAAAAAGAATATGAAAACAAATATATGTATGTATGTATACACATGACTGGGACATTGTGCTGTACACCAGAAACTGACACATTGTAACTGACTGTACTTCAATTTAAAAAAAAGTTTAAAAGAAATAGTAAAGATGTTTGTGGTTGAAAATGCAGTGTCATTCTTATTTTGTTTTTAAATTCAGATGATGGAGCAGCTGCATCCCCTGACCTCAGTGACATGTCTCCTGAAGGCCTGCAGCCCCCAACGATCCTCTTACAGCAGTCACTGGCCTCGGCCACCCAGCCGTCTCTGGTGAGGCCATATTTGACCAACAGGAGCTTGAGGTACAGTCAGTAGTAGTCTTGGCAGTCTTTATCCAGCACACTAGGTTGTCAACTTTGTTTTTTGGTAGATATGTAGGTAGATTTCCTTAAGGATATAGTCTGAATTTTAAATATGTGAAAATAATTCTTGTGACTAGGTAGGTGTTAAGCATGTTTGTCATAGAACGTTACAATACTGTTTAAAGAATGAATGAGTTAAAGTTTAATTTTATTTTGAATTTCTGTGAATTATTTGAAAAAGTCAGCTGGATTCAGCATGCATTCATTGCTCAAGTGTTCTTGGAGGAATCTTTTCCCAGGAAACAGTGTCGTTGAAAGAGCCCCATGAAGCCTAGGAAGATGGCACTTGCTGGTTTGTCTCACTCACGCCAAAGCCTTTCCTGAGCATGCTCTGTTGAAGCCAGGCTCTCAGTCTACACCCTGTTTCCAAGCACGTGGTGCACTGCGTACTCGGGGGTGGACTGTGGGCATCTTCCCGCTGAAGAGAGGACATCTGACCAGGTCTAAGCATGATGGGGACATCCATGGCCCACCACATGGAGGACTAGATTTCTTTTTTTAAACCTTCTTGCTTGCAGTACATCAGAAATTCTGGACAAAACATCAAAGACAAAAATTAAACTTTGAGAGCTTAATTTGGCAGGCAGAAAACACCCTAGTAGAGATCCACAGAGACCAAGACCCTGCATGGAGCCAGGATCCAGAGCGAGGAAGCGGTGGGTGCAGAGGGAGAAGGCAGGAAATGCTGGGCATGGGGGCAGCTGGGGAGGAGGGTGCAGGGCCTTCTGTGACCCCCACCGAGTGCCAGCTGCTCGTCAGGTCTGAACACCTGAGGTGAGAGGCTGGGTTAAAGTCGCCCAAGCCCCTGCCGGGTGTTTTTTCCTGTCCTGCCCTCCTGTTCCTTTCTGAGGCTGCTGCTGTCATCTGGGGATTGCTTGTGAGTTTCTGTTTGTGTGTCTTGGTTCGCTGTATGGAGCTGTTTTAAAGGTCAGGTGTGCGGCTTCACTGGGTCTGATCTGCTTTAACCCATCCAAGGAATCTTTTATACTTTCAGATCTCATGTTTCCATTTGGTTCCTGTGTTAACAGTTTTACAGGTCTCTTGATGGTCCTCATCTCTTCACCCTTTGTGTCACTTAAAACACATTTCACCCTTGATACCTGTACATTGTTAAACATATGTTTGATTGCTGTATTAAATTTCTTATTTGCTAATTCTGACACTTGGGCCACTCATTGGTCTGCTACTGATCAGTTTTTTCTGCTGGTCATAGTCAGTTACTGGTTCTACTTCTACACACGTCTAAACAATGTTGCTGTGTGCTGGGTGGTTTGGATATTATGCTGTGTGGACTCTGGGCTCTGTTATGTCCTCTGGAGAACACGGAGCTTTATTTTTGCAGACAGTTCAGTGCCTGGCAGCTTTCCTCAGTCCTTGGAGCCTTGATTCTAGACTTTTTGGTGACACTTGATTTTTGTTTTGCCCTAAGTCCTGGTTCCTGGTCTCTGATTCTACGGGATTTACAGTGTCTTCTTAGGTTTCAGTGGAAACCTCTACGTCATGACCACCGCACTCAAACGTGGTTGGACTGGGACCGCGTGCCGTCTCCCTAGCCCTGGGCCTGCCCACAGTTCCTTTATGCTGGGCTCAGCTTTGTGGTCAGCCAAGGAATCACGGGTAGTCTGCGTGTGCACTTTGTGGTCCTCCCACACCCTGCTTGCTCCGGCAGGTCCCTGGCTGCGGTCCAGGAGCACCGCCCCTGTCACGGCTTGCCCCGGGCCTCCCTGTGGTCAGGGTCACACCTGTCCCTGTTTTCTCCAGGGCCTGCCTTCAAATGTTTTTTAAAAATACTCTGTCCAGAATTCACAATTATCGTCAGCAGAGGCTTAGTCTACTGCTTCTTACTGCCAGAACTGGAACTCCTAGCTCGATCTGGTTCTGAATTACAAGCTTTTAGGATGGAGCCTGTACTTCGGAGTTATTCAGACTCCACAGCAAAACCCTAGGATTCTGACCCTTCCTAAGCCCTGGAAGGCTCAATGATGTCTTCTGTTTCTCCCTAATTCCTTCCTCACGTGGTCAGTTTAAAACAAACAGCGAGCCTCAGCGCTATGAGAAGTAGAGCGGATGAGCAGGGAGTTTCAGGTGGTTAAGGGAGGGGGCGAGGCGTCCAGAGGCAGGCAGTCACCAACTGCAGGCCCTGGTGATGCGTGGATTCATCAAATCATTGCAATTTGCTTCCCAACATTCTTTAGTCCCCTTATTTTTTTATACCATGTTTAACCCCCAGAGAGGTTGTGTTACTCCTCAGTAGGTGGGGGTTGATTTGGTGGCACATGAGGTGGCTCTGTGCTGTCTGCGACCTGTCTTACAGATGGAAGAGAGCGGGAGACTGTGGGCACAGCCTGGTCACGGGGAAGGGAGGGGTCCCCTTCTCCTGCCTCCTCAAGCCCCTCACTCTGCATTCACTCCCTCAGCTTGTTGCCACTCAGAGCTCTGATTTCAGGGCTGTGAAATTTCCTTAACAGACTTCGATATTTGGCTAAATTACTAGGTAGGTTCTTTGTCTGCCAAAGAAGCTTTTTAACCATCACAGTTTTCCTCTGCATTAAACTATGAAAGTTGTCTCTGTCCTTGTTAACATGCTTTTACCCATTCATCTAAAAATGCCCAGTAGGCCTGGGTATAGAAATACACTTCTTCGCTGCAGTTGGCAGTGGTCGTCTGTAATTTCTGTTTTCCTAGGCTCCCTGCTCCCCGCCAACTGACGGCCCTCAGCTCCACTCCCATTTGCCTAGGCCACCATGCTGGCTGTGTGTCAGCGTTTGGCTGTGGAGTCCACACATCTGGCGAGCCCCGTGTGTGAAGCCTGCAGCTCCATGACTCCTGTCCCCATGCCGTGCGTCCACCCCATCAGAGTGAAGAAGAACCAGCCGTCGCCGGGTCCTGCTCTGCCTGTTGTGATCCAGCTCATGGAAATGGGATTCCCTAGAAGGAACATCGAGTTTGCACTCAATTCACCCACAGGCACCCCTGGGAACACTGCTGGCTTGCCAGGTACTGCATTTTCCCCGGGGGTGTTCCAGCTTAAGGTGCCCATCTATTTGTTCGTAGGCCTCCTGGGAAATGTGGCCGTCAGAGGCCCGTGCGCAGCTGGGCATGCGGTCCTCACCGCATGGTGCCGTGTGTGCCTGCTCCTGGGCATGGAGGCCATGGTTGGGCCGCTGTTAGACAATGCTGACACGCAGGTCATGGATCTCTAGGACGCAGACGGGGTCTGAGGAGTGTTCAGACGAGGAGGTGGTGGAGGATGTGGACGACACGGCCTACGCTGTGGTCAGTGCCTCCCTCATGCCATCTGTCCTGAGCTCTGATTTCCTCCATGCTGCCTCATGAGGCCCTTCTGGTTTTGCCAGGCACATGGGGAGGCTCCTAATTGCTACGTGGGTGTTCTGTGCCTTAATTACTTTTAGCTTTAAAACAGATCCTTGTTCCAACATCGAATGATGTTCGGTAGCCATGAGAGGAGATGTTATTAAAAAATCTTTTTTTTTAAATGGAGGTACTGGGGATTGAACCCAGGACCTCTAGGATGCTAAGCACGCACTCTACCTCTGAGCTATACCCTCCCTCTTAAAAAAATCATTATTTATATGACACATTGACTTCTGATTTGAGTGAGTTGTTTCACAGGATTCATTTGGAAATGCCTCAGAAATTTTCTGTACTTTAAGGTTTTCAGTTTAGTTCTGCTTACTGTGCTGTTGCCATTAATCTTGTAAAAATGAAGAATTTTACAGTGAAAACACAGCATAATATTTCACGCTTTCTTTTTTTATGTTAGAGATTTCACATACTTCTTTAAGTAGATTTATCTGGTTCACTATTTTTAGAAATGTGTTTCTCTTTTGTAGTCTACCGGTGCTGTCGTAACCGAGAGCTAGACTTAATGAAAAACGGGCTGATTTCCTGAGTAATGATGATTATGCTGTGTATGTGATTCAGAATAATCAGGTGAGTAATGGTCTCAGGCTGGAGTCTGGCTTAGGTTTTCACTCAACAGATGTGTGAGCATCTCAGAAAATCAGAGGCCTGGCAGAGGAGGGCATAGCAGCCAGCAGGGAGGCCTCTGCATCTGGAGAGAGGACAGAGGAGCAGCAGATGGGGGGCCAGCACCACAGAACAAAAGGGGGCTTGTCCGTAGTGACGTGGCGCAGGGTCCTGTGCTTCTTGGTCATCCCCCTTTTGGACACTTCCACGGCCTATTTTTGCTTTTGAGGGGAGATGGAGGTAGTTAGGTTTATTTTATTTAATGGAGACACTGGGATTGGAGCCAGGACCTTGTGCATGCTAAACACACACTCTACCACTGAGTTGCCACTGAGTTGTACACTGCTCCATCTTTTGTAAAAAATATCATTCTCTTTGCCATCTAATTTTAAAAACTTACTTATGTTTTTTCAACCTTAAATCCTTCCTTTTCCTGCTTTAATTCTTTTCTAGTTAGTACACTTCAGAGAAAGTCCCAGAAATCATCTCATTCTACCTGTTAATATGTCGATATGTGTCCCATATAGATAAGGCTTTTATTTGTAACATAATGACCTTACAGTTACCTAACATTGCCTGACAGAGTAAACAGTGATTCCTCACTGTCATCTCATAGCTAATGCTTGCTCAGATTTCCCAGTTTTCTCAAAAACGGCTTTCTATAGTAGTTCCTTTGAATTTTTATACTAACAAGATCATATACCTCACATTTGGCTGATCGGTCCCAGAAGTGTTTTTTAACCTAGAATAGTTCCTCCCTCCTTTTTTCCTTATCATGCCATTCATTTGTGCTAAAACTACATCGGCCCACAGTCTTCCTCCCTCTCCTCCAGAGTGAGGGCTGCAGGGTGGTTGGGCTCAGGCTGCCCCTGAGCAGGAATGTATCGTAGGGGCCAGCACGCAGCGTCGCTGGTCGTCACCATCTATTCTCTGTTAATGTTGTTCATGTTGCCTTCTAGATCCATCACAAACTTTGTCATCCCTCCCAAATTTATTAGCTGGAGTTGTGTCCTTTTAAAAAAAACTTTCTTATGAACTCTGGTCACTATAATATAGTTCACATAGGAAAGGCAGAATAGTGGCTGTTTTTTGTTTGCTTGCTTGCTTGCGTTACCAATTTTCAGAATGATGAATTGGTGCCCTGGTACTTGTAAAGGTGACCAAGAACCTTTGTTTTGTCTATTATCATTATGATGAATTTATTGGCTATTATGGATTTGATGTGTTCTAGCCATTTTTCCTCTTGATCATGTGGGAACCCACTGATCTTTTTTTTGTTTTAATTGAAGTATAGTCAGTTACAATGCTGTGTCAGTTTCTGGTGTGCAGCGTATTGTTTCAGTCATCCATGCACATGCATGTATTCCTTTTCACATTCTTTTCCTTTACAGGTCACTACAAGATACTGAATGTAGTTCCCTGGGCTGTACAGTAGGACCTTGTTGTTTATCTATTTTAGTATCTGTACTAGTAGTATTAGCATTAGTAGTTAGTATTTAGAGTCCCAACTTACCCTTCCTACCCCCTTGTCCCTCTGGTAACCGTTTGAGCTGTTTGTATATTCTTGAAATTCAGCCCTTATCATTTGCATCATTTGCAAATCTTTTCTCCCATCCCGTAGGCTGTCTTTTTATTTTTGTTAGCTTCCTTTGTTGTACAAAAGCTTGTAAATTTGATTAGGTTCCATTTGTTTATTTTTGCTTTTATTTCTGTTGCTTTGGGAGACTGACCTAGGAAAACATTGCTACAATTTATGTCAGAGAATGTTTTACCTATGTTCTCTTCTGGATTTTTATGGTGTCCTCTCTTATATTTAAGTCGTTAAGCCATTTTGAATTTATTTTTGTGTATGGTGTGAGGAAGTGTCCTAAATAACATCATTGATTTACATGCTGCTGTCCAGTTTTCCTAACACCACTTGCTGAAGAGACTGTCTTTTCTCCATTGTATATTCTTGCCTCCTTTGTTGAAGATTAATTGACCCCGTAGGTCTCTGGGCTCATTTCTGGGCTCTGTATTCTATTCCATTGATCCACATGTGTGTTTTTATGTCAATACCACACTGTTTTGGTTACTGTAGCTCTGTAGTATTGTCTGAAGTCTGGAAGGGTTATTCCTTCAGCTTTGTTCTTTTTCTTCTGTGTTGCTTTGGCCATTGGGTCATTTGGGAGTCCATATAAAATTTAGGATTATTTGTTCTAGTTCTGTGGAAAATGTCCTGGGTAATTTGATAGGGGCAGCATTAAATCTATAGGTTGCTTTGGATAGTATGGCCATATTAACAATATTAATTTTTCCAATCCAAGAGCATAGGATATCTTTTCATTTCTTTAAATCATCTTTGATTGCCTTAATCAGTGTGTTGTAGTTCTCCACATATAAGTCTTTCACCTCCTTGGTCAGGTTTATTCCCAAGTTTTTTTTGTCTTTGTTTTTCATGTGATTTTAAAAAAGATTTTTAAATTTTACTTTCCTTTTCTGATATTTCATTGATAGTATAAAGAAATGCAGCTGATTTCTGTATGTTAATCTTGTATCCTGCTACCTTGCCAAATTCATTTATCAGCTTTAGTAGTTTTTGTGTGGAGCCATTAGTTTTTTAGTGCTCCCTTGCTTTATGGCACACGTGGACCTAGGCTCATGTTACGTATTTCCTCCCCTAGAGATCAAGACAGGCAGTTTTCTAAAGAGCCCTGGTTCTATATGTTGAGAAATGATTTTGAGATCATACTGGGTGCTAGAGGAACTTTCCTTAGAAATAGAATAATGCTACTTAAAATTGATCACTCATCTATACACTGGACTAGACTTTTTACATTTAATTTTAATTTTAGGTAGGAATGATGGTTAGATGCTGTTGAACAGATGAAGAAGTTTGTGAAGGAGATGTGGGCAAAATTATCAAGTTGGATAGAGATGGATTACATTGACCTCAGTGTGCAGTGTGATTGGCAGCAGAAAGGAGCACCTACTGGGTTAGGTTCATTCACGTGGAACTTGTAGGTAAGAACATTCTTCATCTGCTTCTGAATGAGGTCTTTAGAGTTCCCAGAAATGAATGCTAACTGTAGTTCATTTTTTATTGGCATCTCTAGGCTGCCCTCCACCAAGTTCTCCTCACACAAAGGCAAGATTGGTGGTAAAGTTCATGTGAAAGCCTCAGTCTTGACACTGAAATACAAGTGGTGGTCTGTGACTCAGCAAAATGTGGGGCTTGTGAAAGATCATAGTACCTAGGCAGGAAAGCGCTGGGTGTTGGCTTTTCATCAACTGATGTAAACTAGGGCAGGAAAAACAAGAATTAAGCACACCTTATGATATAAAAATAGTGCCCTTCTGCTTGTCAGTGCCCTCACGACCAGGAGCAGCCCTGCTGTTGAGGAGTCAGGTGTGTTAACTCCCTGCATCGTGGGAGAACGCACCATGGAGAATGCGGTGTCTCCGTAAGTGTGTGAATGTGACAAAGTCTAATGGGTTTGCATTGAGTATTTGGGGGAGATGTCAAGGAATTGGGATAATTCTAAGAATGGGTGTGTTAATAAACATTCCCTGGAGGGCAGAAATACTGAGTCAGGATGAGGTCATGCCTTGCAGGGAAGCAGTCGGTCATACTCGCCAGGAGGGGACTGTGGTTGGGATTCGATTGGATGTGACTGGACATGTTAGAGTGGTTTTGTTTTCATCTCGATCTGTCACAGTCTCAGGCTGACCTTGTCTCATATTGGGGTTCTTGTTCTGTCAGTCCTTCTGCCAAATGGCCAGCTCCCTCATTGTTTTTCTCTCTTTTTATTAATGCTGTATAAAAATTTAGGACTGAGTTTAAGAAATGGAAATGTAGAAATGATGTGTGTTAAGACCTGGAAACACAAAATTCTCCTCAGTTTATATTTAATGTGATATTGTTGAGATTTCAAATCACATGGCATACTATGTGTCCATTTTAACAGTTGCAAGAAAAATAATTAAATATATGCATGATTTTATTTTGTCTTTGAACTCTTTCAGTGCCATTTTTGCTTTGTTTTGTTTCAGCTTTGTGGAAAGCCATCTTTCTGCCAGATAGCTTAGATTAGAAATGGCCGCAGTGGTGGTACTTCCTCAGTGGGCAGGGATATTAGAGTTCCTTAAGTTACTTAAGAACAAATGGCTTATTTAACATTTTATTTTTGTTTAACATTTTGCTTCACTTAAGAGATTCTTAAAAGCTTTACAAATCAAAACAAAGATAAATTTCAAAAGTAACAACTTGGTTTAGAAGTTAATGTTTTCAGTAGCTTTCACCAAAGGGCAAGAGCTACCTTAACGTTATTAATATAATTTTTATTCCCTAAGTTACTGAATGGAGTTTTTGGTTGGTGTAATTAAAAACAAGCAAATAAACCTTCAATAAGTGGATAATTTCAAACAGATACAAAAGTCGAGATTATAGTATAATGAGCCTCCATGTGCCTATTACCTGACTTGAGCAGTTGTCAGCTCCTGGCCAAACTGTTCATCCATGGTCCCCTGCTTCCATTATTTTGAAGCTAATCCCTGATTGCCATCATGTGTTAGTTGACCCAGAAGTATCTTAGTGTGTCTCTCCCAGAGAGAAGTTCTTTTTGTACAACACAGAAAACTGTAATATAATATCACGTGGTTAGGTATAGTTTTAATTTTAATTTTCAGTTTTTATTGGTGAAAGAGGTGTTCCAGACAATTTCTATTCTGTCCTAGCTGTCAGTGCCAGTGGGAAAGATGTTATTGTCAACTTCCCTCAGTCTCACTGAACTGCGCTCTCATCAGACATGTAGTTGGTACCCAGTGTCCATCCTGGTATCACGTGAGTTTTAATTTTTATGTTGCTAGATTTGTTTGGGAGGAATGGCTTTCTCTGGAATCAAGTTTAACAAATGACCTCATCTTTTTCTTATCAACCAATGGCTATTTAAAAAATAGGTGTGATGGCTGTGAGATGTTTCCTATCAATGGATCTCAGTTCAAGTACTGTGACGACTTTGATTTTTGTGAAATGTGTTTCAAAACTAGGAAACACAACACCAGGCATATATTTGGCAGAACAAATGACCCACGTATGGTAAATGATTATGTTCTCTTTCCACAAAATTTATTAGTGAGATAATTATTGTGGAAACAAAGTTACTTAGTTTTGATCTTCAAAGCTTATGCTTAAATGGTGAGCACTGTGCTCTGTGCACAGTGAAACAGGAAAGCTGGTCCTACCCGCCTGGTGAATTACTAGTTTTTTGCAAGCAATGAGGGGGTCTCTGGAGCTAGAATAGTGGGGTTTGTTCACTTGTATTTCCATAGAAAAACAGTAAAAAGATCTCAAGAAACTAGTAAATGTTTTGTTGGATGGGATTTGGAATTGGAGAGATGGAGAGGGAGTCTTTTTATTTGTGTGTCTTTTATTATTTATTTTATCACTATGGCAGAATATAGACAACATAAAATTTGCCAGTTCAGTCACTTTTAAGTGTATAATTACAGGAATTTGCACATTAACCCCACTATTTCTAAACTCCTTTCACCACTGCAAATTAGGAAGGGAACCATTAAGGAATAAGTCCTCTTTCTTCCCTCTACCAACCCTGGCAACCTCTAATCTGCTTTCCGTCTCTGAATTTGACAACCCTAGGTACCTCTTAAAAGTGAAACCAGTCAAAATTTGATTTTCTGTGTGTCTGAGTTATTTCAATCTGCATTGTGTTTCCAGGGTTCATCCATGTCATAGCATGTGTCAGAACTTCATTTCTTTTTGTGGCTGAGTAATATTTCATTGTATGTATATACCACATTCTGTTTATCCAGTCACCTATTATGGACATGTGGGTTGTTTGTACCTTTCAGCTCTTGTGAATAACATTGCTGTCAACATTGGTGTATGAATCTGTTTCAGTCCCTGTCTTCAAAACTAGGAGTGTAATTGCAGGGTCATTAGGTAGTTCTTTAACTTTGGGGAGGACTGCTAACAGGTTTTTTATAGTGGCTGCACCATGTAACATTTCTTTCAGCAATATATGA